AGCTGATTTGCCGAGTCAGTGCTCCTCCGATGCCGTCACGCCGACTCGGCGGACGGGCCGGGCGGTGCTCGCGGGACGGGACGGGCGGGCCGGGCGGTGCTCGCGGGACGGGACGGACGGGCCGGGCGGTGCTCGCGGGACGGGACGGACGGGCCGGGCGGTGCCCGCGGGACGGGACGGCGGGCCGGGCGGTGCCCGCGGGACGGGACGGACGGGCCGGGCCGGTGCTCGCGGGACGGGACGGGCGGGCCGGGCCGGTGCTCGCGGGACGGGACGGACGGGCCGGGCGGTGCTCTCGGGACGGGACGGGCGGGCCGGGCCGGTGCCCGCGGGACGGGACGGACGGACCGGGCGGTGCCTCGCGGGACGGGACGGACGGGCCGGGCCGGTGCTCGCGGGACGGGACGGACGGGCCGGGCGGTGCTCGCGGGACGGGACGGGCGGGCCGGGCGGTGCCCGCGAGACGGGGCGCGGGCAGCGAGTCGGCACCCCCGGCTGAGGGCCAGTAGCGGGTGACGGCTGACCAGGCTGACGACGGAGACGGCCCGGCGACGCCGGTGGGCTCGGATGGACACACTGCACTGGCCGGATGTTACCAGGTTGTTCAAAGTTGAGGAGTTTCGGAGCCGCCGGCTCTCTTGTGTGGTGCTGATGGATGATACTTCTGCCCAAATAGCGCTCAGTCACCCAATTTGCTGGGTGCCGGGTGAGATTAGCAGTTGATGACAATCAGAGAGGGGAGGTTTAACGGACTGTGTCACTGCGTTATCTGTATTCCCTGGCCGAGGCGGTCGGAGAGAATCGTGGACACCGTGAAAGCCGCTGCCTTCGGAATTCTTGGGAAAGTTATGCGGCACTCGGGTGGAGATGTCCTTATGTAGCCTCTGCAGTGCTTGCAAGGACTTCCGGTTTGCGGTAGAACTCCATAGGGGTTGTGTGCTAGATAAGTGCTTCATATGGTATTTGTTTGTTCCGTTTTGAGGACCCCATTTCTTGGGAGATTCCAGTTTTCCTGTCCATGCTCACTGAAGCACTGCAATGCTTTTTCGAATGTCTCTGATAGTAATGTCATCTTACAGACATTTCTAAGCACCAATTTACACACGTTCTCAATGGATTCGTCGTATTGCATCTCAGGCGATAAATTATACGGAAATGTGCCACGGCAAACTCTGTTGTTTGTGATAACCTCCTGTCGTGCAGGTTAGAGGCACCAAGATGCTTAAGTTCAATCCCACGCCTCTGATTCGCACACGGTAAGCACGCACTTAGCTGTGGTTTGACTTCGATCACGCGCGTCCTCCGGCAGACTCTACAGCCCGTGTATTTGTAGTGTCGCGAGACGCCCGGGGTGCCGGCGTCTGCATATTTTGTTAAAGCACACTGATACGAGCCTATGCCGTCACGTCAGCCGCTGGGATCAATCAGAATCGATCACAGTCGCGTGACGTTTCCGCATGTTAACACAGCGAAGCGGCGCCAGCCGTGGAGATGCGGCGGCGGGGCGGAGCGGGTCTCGCTGGCGGGACCAGTCGGGCGCGCCGGCCCGATCACGCCGAACGCCCCACTGACGCCTGTCGCCTCTGCGGGGAGGGGCACTGGCACCGGCGGCTGCCGGCCGGCGTCCACAGGAGCCGTCGCCGAGGCTCAGGGACGCGGCGGCATCGGCGGCACCGCTCTAGTGTCCTCTGCTGCCAGCGACCCCGGCCGAGTTAGGCGTCACCGTGGCGACAGCCCAGGAGCGGAGAGCGCTGGCGGCGCCTCAGACCACGCCGGCCGGCTCTCGTCGGCGCCGTGACCGTCCGTTCCTGCGGCGGCCGTCAGCGGTGTGGCGTGTGGCACGATCGGACCGGCCTGACCCGAGCACAGACTAAACCCGAGCCAGTGTCGGGGCCAGAGCCAGAGCCAGGGCCGGACCCAGAGCCAGAGCCAGCGCCAGGGCTGGAGCCAGAGCCAGCGCCAGAGCCGGGGCCAGAGCCAGCACCAGAGCCGGAGCCGGAGCCAGAGCCAGAGCCAGAGCCAGAGCCAGCACCAGAGCCAGCACCAGAGCCGGAGCCGGAGCCAGAGCCAGAGCCAGAGCCAGAGCCAGAGCCAGAGTCAGAGCCAGAGCCAGAGCCAGAGCCAGAGCCAGAGCCAGAGCCAGAGCCAGAGCCGAGCCTCCCGGAAACGAGCTCAGGACGGGCGGAAGGAAGGCAATCAGCCACGGCGACGAACCTCTCTGGCCAGTCGGGGCCGCTGTCTGAAAATGGTTTCTCTCAATGCCACACCATAGTCAATATGCGGTCCAAGTAAATGCACGCCGACGTTGTGTGCGTCATTGGGGCTCTACGACGCACTCAGCTGCTGAGGCTTTATGACGTCTCCTGCCTCTCACCCTGGCAGGAAGGACGGGCACCGCGGGGAACCGAACCCCGTACCTCCGGTTTCCCAGACGCGCAGTGGTTAACGCCTACCGGCACCCCTGCATGCATGTCGACGTTAGGCGGAGCCGCACCAAGCTCTCTTCCTCAGCCCACCTTAAACGCCGCGTCTAATGGGGAAACCACAACAGTTTTTGGTGATCACTTAGAAAAGGCGTGGCTTCCTTGCGAGATGGAGAGCAATAGTTTGCTATGCTGTGCCAGGTCCAGTTTTGCCGACGGACATTCCGCCGCCGTTGGCTGGGGCCCTTTCGCGGAGCTTGGGTAGCCCTTTCGCGGAGCTTGGGCTGATATTCATGATCTCTTGGGTCGTGAATAATCTAGGAAAATGGCAGAGCGCGTTGGTCTTCGATGCATAGGTTGCCGCCGTTTCAGAATAGGCTTCCCCATGAAAAATGCGTCTTCTTGGACTGCCGGAACGGTCCATTTGCATTTCATGGACTTCTGCACCGTCGTGGTGTAATCGGTCCCGTTTAAAGCATGACCCAGTTCGGTGTCCATGCCGTATGGTCAGGGCCACTGGCATGATTTGCCGTGCTGCCTGATAATCACACATCCACTGATGAAGGGATCTATATTCACGGACATAAATTCTCGTGTTGTCACGCCGCAGGGTTCCGCGTGATAAGATGCGATCCCACGGTTGGAGTCAAACACCGCCACCGACCGACCAATCACCGCCTTGGCTCAAGCCCATGTCCCGCTGTCATTGTAAATCTCATCAGCGCACGGCGTCAGGCGCCGGTCAGCTGCCGTAAATCGCTCCGGTCGCCAGTGAAATGCACCGCCTCCCGTGGCCCGACTGGAGCGGGCCGGGCGCTCGCGGGGCTCGTGGACTTGACACACTTGGTGCCACTTGTCCTGCACCGAACCGTGACGTCCAGAGGTGCACAGACTCCAGCTTCATGCTGCGCCAGATGTGCTCCTGTCGGGAAAGTAATTATTTCTCAGCAATCACTAAGGGCGTGTTCGCAGCGGCCCGAACGACGCAAAATCTATACCTCACAGTCACTCGTGACGTCATACCCCATAGATTCTGCGCCGTTTGGAGTTCGCGGCGACCCGGACGACAAGGATTCGATGCGACGTCACGTAGTCTTTACAGGACGAGCAGAATATTTTGATGTGACTCGATGGGAGTGAGACAGAAATGGCGCAACACATTCAATTATAAACAAGTTGATGCCCAAATCAATATTGCCTGCCCAGGACCGACCACGACTGATGTAAAGGTGTTCACAACGTTGCAAAGAGCAGATTTGCAGATCAATTCTTAGAAGCGCTCAAAGTACCTACAAACGGAAATGTTGTGTCTTTGCACAGTTATTGGCACGACAGTTACGAAGATACAGACAAAAAACAAAAACAAAAAACGGGTTGCGCTGCGAACGCGCCTGGCGAAGATTACACGTGACGTCACGTAGAACAGATCATTCTTGGTGCGCCACGAATACACGCTAAATGCTTTCATCAGAACCTAGACAGTAAAACAAGATCGAGGTAAAATAACACTATTTGAAACCTGCTGTATCTTTTGCTTATTATCAATAATCGAGTGCATTTTGACCAGACAGAGTCAAAATGACTCGAGGCGCGTTCGCGAAAGAGATGCAGAGTGAAAAGTCTGTTGGTGACACTTTGTAATGGAGGCTGCACCGAGTCGCTGTCGGAAACTGACTTGACTGCCATATGCTTTCAGAAAGATTGTGTCAAGAGGTGGGGACTTGCCTTTTACAAGATCCCAGTTCTAGTGCCTAACGGAGCCTGACTAGCACTGACACGGCCTGACCGACGTCGACACGATCTAACCCGTACTGGCATGGCTTTACCCATACTGACACGGCAAACCCTTACTGACACGGCCTCGTCCATACTCACGCGGCCTGACCCACACTGACACGATCTGATCCTCACTGACCTGACCTTACCCATATAAACACGCCCTAGCCTATGCTGATATGGCCTGGCCCATGCTCACACGTTTTGACCCATGCTGACAGGGTGGGATCCGTCCAGTCGAGCCATCACAGCCTAGCGGAGCTGGACACTGACTCCTGACCCCTGACCCCTGACCACTTATCCTTAACTTTGGCCCTGCCCTGTTCTGATTAGAACTGATCAAGAGAGATCTGAGAGCAAGAGAGCAAGACCTGATCCGGCCTGAGCAGGCCTGATCCGGCCTGAGCAGGCCTGATCTGGTCTGAGCAGGCCTGATCCGGCCTGAGCAGGCCTGATCTGGTCCGATTCAAGCAAGTCCACGTAGTGCCGCTTGACTCATGCTATGGCTTAATGAACACCTGTTGAGTCAGTGCACCTCATCGATCCTGGCTGGGACCGTCAGTATCGCTCGGGGCCTCCTTACTGAGAGCGGTCCGACCCAGACGCGTCAGGCCAGCGGGGGGCCCGAGGTCGAAGCTGCTGGGAGGCCTCCTCCGAGGCCTCCACGCTGAGTGCGGGTCCTACCCCCCAGACCGCGCCAGGCCAACGGCGGGGGCCCGAGGTCGAAGCTGCCTGAGATCCTCCTCGGGGCCTCCTCGCTGAGTGCGGCCCCGCCCCTGAACGCCGTCTCTCTCGTTACAGAGGTCCGGACACCTCCGCGGGGACGTTACGATGAGCCGAGCGAAGACAGCGTCGGCTTCGAAGCCTACCAGGTCAGTTGATGGTGGAGCGGCATAGAAGGGTATAGGAACGAGGGAGAGGAATGGAGAGGAGGGGGACGGAGAAGTATAGGGAGAGTGAGAGGGGAGAGGAGGAGGACAGAGGAGAGGATGATGAGAGAGAGAAGGGGGAGAGGCACGGGAAGGAGAGAGAGAGAGAGAGAGAGAGAGAGGGGGGGGGACAAGGAGAGAGGTGCGTAAAATATGCAAGCAGAGGAAGAGAACGGGAAGGCAAACGGAACGAACTGATGGCATTTTCTGGTATGGTAGACAAATCTTCTGTCTTAAACCACGCCGCAGTTCTTACCAGGCCACACAGTCTTCGTGTACCAATACATTGATTGGTATTCCATAAGCTTTGATGGCATGCTTCATTGCGCTATCATGCCTTAATTGGTGCCCAAGATGGCAGGATGGGCTGTTACAGAAGCTAACTTCACCTAACTCAGCGCTGACGGATGGCGCATGGCCGGACTTCTCAGCAGTCTCGCCACTGGCTTTTCACACAGTCTTGTGATTTGCGTTGCGAGGATATGACGGCCGTTTTTGCATGAAAAGTACGACGCCCCCCCCCCTCCCCCCCCCACTGGCAGGCATCAACAACGTGACGTGCGAGCTGCAACAACTTTTTAAGTTTGATGATTCCACTTGAGCTTCTGAGAAAATCACCCATTATCGGTGTTATTTCTATAAACCTATGGTGAAGCACATTAAGGCAGATGTCGAATAAATTAGCATATATGTGTTATTGATGTTGTGTACTGATTTACATTGCACAATTATCCAGCCCTTGGCTGGCACCCGAGGCCTCTATTAAACCGTCGGGATTCCCTACTCAGTCGACGAGCTTGACATCGCAGAGGCTCGCTGGCTCATGGAATAGCTAATCGTGCCCCGTTCGTGCTCGAGAGACAGCTGCATGGGCCGCGTGCCCGGCATGCACTGGCGTCGCGGCGGCGGCCTTTGCGGCTGCCGGCAGTGTGGCCCCGCCAGCGGCGGCGGTCCGGCCGAGGCCCATCCATCACTGCCGTACCGGCTCGTCCGCCGCGCCGGTCAGGGGGCGCCAGACGCGCGGGGGGCCGCCGCCGTCAGACTCCCCAGCGCGCACACCGCCGCTGTCACGAGCTGGGCTCGCCGACTTCAGCTCCTGCAGCCGCTGCTGACTGCCGTCATCACCGCGGGGTGGGACGGAATGACCCGCCTTCAGCTTCAAGCCCAGGGGTATATATATATATATATATATATATATATATATATATATATATATATATATATATATATATATATATATATATATATATTGCATACCCGCCAATCGCACACCGGCTTGTTTTAACGTGCGCGCTTCGCTCGCTCGTGGTGGCTCCGAAGTGGCGTGACCCACCCGTCCGATTTTCCCGCATACCGGCTGACAAGCACCGTCTAATGGCTGCCTTGTCGGGCACGATCTTTGGCGATTTTGCCATCGGCATGCTGAAATGCGACGACTAAGGCAGAGCGTGCGACACCTTTTCCTGGACTTGAAGAAGGCATCCGGGGACCATGAGGAACATCAAGCTGCTCTGTGTTAAGGCAAAACGACTACTTTTGCGCTCTCAACCATAAATCTGCGGTACTGCTTAACCATGCACTTTTAGGGACAGGTGCCAAGCAGCTATATAGAGGGGTAGCTCATAGCTCCACTGACGAATCACCATGGGATCACCTGTGAGATAGCCAACTTATGGGAGACGGTGCATGTGTTTGTTCCAGGTGCTGTCCTGCACCTAGCTGGCTTTGGCTCTGGCTTGGCTTGGCTTTGGCTTTAGCTGCATATGGAACCAACTCACGTGCATCCCCGTGAGCACATGTTTCGAGATAAAAGTGTTCATAAATGCATGCCTGGCATATATACCTATCAATTGACTGACTTTCCGATTACTAATCAATTACGTTGCTACTGATGCCTACATTATCTGACCGTGATGCATGATGGTCTTTCGTGAGGGTTTAGGGTGTCAGCAGGCATCGCGGCGTCTTTCTGCAACAAATCTGCATATTGTCTTGCAGGCTAGCCAATTATTATGTATGCAAACACCCAGCGGAAATACATTGCATAAAACAATATATTCCGCTCGTCGCCTGCACCTGGTCGCAGATTTTACCACAAATGGAAAGTCCATTGCAGGAAAGTGCCTGATAAAGCCATGGGGTTCCGTTGCCTTTTCAACTAGCGACGGCCACCCATATTATCTGAGAGCCTGTCATATATTAATGAAACAGCTCTCATAACAAGATTCAAATGGCGAGCTATGTTTTAACCCAGGTAAATAGTATGGTAGATTAGCCATACTTGTTGCCCTTCATCCACAGCAGAAAGCTTTGTATAAATAGCGTAATATATCTCTTATAACTGTGTGGCCACACAAGAAAGCATGCAACAGCAAATAGCACGTAACCTTGTTGCGTGCATCGGGATCTGACGTAAATAATATAATTCAAACTTACATGATATATAGCTGCAGCGAAGCATGCAGACGTACTATGACGGCATGTGTTATTTGTCGTGTTATCGTATGCAGCACATATTGTAGGATGACTCACGGGGACAGAAGTGATGGTCGACACATTCCCAGCTCCGCGGGAAGTAAATGAACTCCTATGCAGAAACCGGCCCTGACTATTTGGCTATAGCGCTTGGCCGTTGACACCACCCCGGCGTTGGACCGTACAACGGTTGGGAACGCCACCTGCTACGCCTGGCCGTCCTGACTGTTCCGTCAACAGGGGTAGACCACCACGTTAGGCCCAGCCAGCCTCTCTAAGCCGTCTGCCTTCCCTTCTGACAGCCCTGCCGGTCCCCCAGCAGCCTCCGCACCACTCACCTTTCCACCACCCGCAGGGAATAAACGAGCGCGAGATGAACAGCCTACACAAGCGCATCCCTGGGCTGCGGCGGCACGACCCCAAGACGTCGACCATCCGGCAACACTACTACCCGGAGGGTGGCTGGGGCTGGGTGGTGTGCGGCTGCGCCTTCCTCGTCCACCTGGTGATCGCTGGCTTCCAGCTCAGCTACGGCGTCCTGCTGCTGCACGTGCTGGCCGCCTGGGGCCGCGAAAGCTACATGAAGGCCGGTGAGTGACGCCGCTTGGTTCTCTGATCGGTGCCCGGTCGGGGCGTGGACGTGAGCGGGTCGTTGTGCCGCTCCGGCGTGACCTCTGACCCCGCCCCGTCCCTGTATGTCCGAGTCGTCCTGTTACATTTTGTCCCTTGGCGCTGTCTCGTTGCGTGGTGTTCTGTGGCTCCCAGTTCGCTCCTGGTGCTCTGTTCTGTGGCTATTACTCCGTTCCTGGTGCTCTGTTCTGTGGCTTCTGCTCCGCTCCTGGTGCTCTGTTCTGTGGCTCCCACTCCGCTCCTGGTGCTTTATTCTGCGGCTCCTGCTCCGCTCCTGGTGCTCTGTTCTGTGACTTCTGCTCCGCTCCTGGTGCTCTGTTCCGTGGCTCCTGCTCCGCTCCTGGTGCTCTGTTTTGTGGCTCCTGCTCCGCTCATGGTGTTCTGTTGTGTTGCTCCTGCTCCGCCCCTGTAGTGTCAGGGTATGACCGCTCTTGTGTGCTGCTGGTCATGCCTCATTCCTACAGTTCCGCGTCACGTCCGGTTCCCGCGTGTGTTCCTCTGATGCCCGTTTTCGCTTGACCCCGGCCGCGCTCCGTTTCTTTGTGCACACGCCTGGTCACGGTCCGTTCCGCGTGTCGCTGCTCGTGCCCGCTCCCCGTGGCTCGGGCGGCGGCGTGGGACGTGCTTGAGGAGCCGGGTCGGTGAGTCAGCTCTGCGGGGCGGGGCCGCGGCCCACCACGCATCAGGGGCGCCGGCTATCGTCGATTCCCATCTGCGGCTCGGTCTGTCGTCACGAACCCGTCATTGGTCACTGACGCCGGGCCGGGCGGGAAGTGGCGCACGCTGCAGCCGGGGCGTACACCGGCGTGAGGCTCGGCGCTGAGAGCAGCAGGAAAAAGCAGGCTACCTCCTGCTGCTGATGTTGGCTCTGCGGGCTGCAAAGTGGATGTTGCACTCATACGAAATCGGGTACTTTTCTCTCATTCATAGTAATTGCTTGGCTTGCTATACGTTGCACTTAAGTCACGGGCAGAGATAAGTGAGTTTCCGTCGTCTCCTATTCATGTGAGAACTTCGCTGCGGTTCAGTCTTCTATCCCAGACCGCAGCACACGTGTCTGTTATCAGCGTCAGCATGTCGTCAACAACGCGCCAGTCAAACTCCGTCCCCGATTTTAATGAGCCCCAGCAATGGTATCGAGATCAGTTGGCTGCTCCAAAGTCCCGACGCGTTGCTTGTTAACGAGGCCCAGCACAATCATGACTCGGTGAACCGTGTGAGAGGCTGGATCTGATGGCCAGCTATCCGGGCCCTCCGGCGAGCCGGTGCCAACCAATCACAGCCGCCGGGGAGCGCGCCAGCCCCTGCATCGAGCGCCGGCTCGTGGCGGGCTTTTACCGGACGGGCGTGCCGGTCGCCGCTTTAGATAGACGCGTCCAGCTGTTGCGTCAATACATCTGGCAGTGACAAATGAATAGGTCCGCCTCGTCAGGTGTGGACAGCTGCTGACCGGAGCGCCAGCTGCTGACCGGAGCGACAGCTGCTGACCGGAGCGCCGGCCCGGTCCTTGAGAGATGCCCGGGCTGGGAGCTGACGGGGTACCCGGTCCGGCGGCGACCGACCCTGCTGAGGCGTCTCCGGCTGGCCAGCCGGCCACCACCGATCAGGAGAGCCCGCCCCGCTGGTCAGCCGGCCACTCCTGATCAGGATAGCTCGCGGCTGGCCAGCCAGCCACCACTGATCAGGATAGCTCGCGGCTGGCCAGCCGGCCACCACTGATTATTATAGCTCGCGGCTGGCCAGCCGGCCACCCCTGGTCGGATAATTATTTGTCGTCCCGGGTAAAGACGAGAACGTGCTCCAAACGTTCATGCCGCACACATAGATGTCGGCTCACTGTTCAAGCGGGTAATGTGCAACTCTGAGAATGAAGCTGGATGTGGAAATGCTGATAGCGTCGATAAACTTTGCAACTATTTTTGTATCCAGTAGAATCGTCGTCACTGACCACTGATCCTAGATGCATCCTGTTAGAACACTCTTGAGATACGTGGACCAAACAACATTTCTATTAAGGTCAGATGCTTAGCAGGGTATTTAGTTGACGTCTAGTTATGCACAGGTCATACCTGATCGTATCCCAACATCTTTATCTAGCAGCTGATTGCATATATCTTCAAAGAAATACTTCTTGAACGTAATGGACAGTTTCCCTACTCTCTGACTTGGGCGACATTCGGATAGCGTGATCGCTACATGGCAACAGCACTAGAAGCCCTTGGAGATCCCCCCCATTAAGCAACCCATAAATAATGTTGTTCTATGATTAATCCTTCAGCAGTACTGAGCCTGCGTGATGAATCGACGGCAGCTGGGACTCTGTGTGATGACGCACCTGGCGTCGCCGCACTTCTGCTGAGCGCGACCGCTCTTCGCCACCCTCTCTCGTCATTTTTTGTCAGTAGGGCTCCGCCTAATGCCAACACGATTACCGCGCTAATTGGACTGCGGCGAGCCGCCAACCCAAGCGGCAAAACCAGGTGTCGCCACCGGAGCGGGCCGCACGTGCACCGCCGGCTCTCCTGGTCCGCCGGCAAAAACGGCTCCGATGCCGGCCCGCGTCAGGCAGCTGACTGAGTCCGGCAAACTGACTTCAAGTCTGGGCCGAAACCAGTAACCTGACTACGAGTCTGGGCTGGGTCCAAGGACCTGGCTACGAGCCTCGGGCCGGGCTCGAGAGCCTAGTTCGTATCTGTCACATTTTTTTGAATCTATGGGCGAGTTCAATCATTTTCAGAGCTCATGCGTCCGCGTCCGAGTTTGAGTCGTACGATGTTCAGTCCGAGTCCGTGTCTGAGTTTAAACGTAAGAGTCAAAGTGCAATAGCTTGTCACGGGATCGCTCAAGATAACGGTAGCTTCATGTCAAGCTGTCAGATTCTGAAATCTCATCGGGTGTAATTGCAATAAGGTAAACGAATCTCGACCCTTTCTGATCATACCTTGACTGGACCGTCACCTCACGTGCCGCCGCGCCGGGTCACCACTGGAATGCGTATCGAAGTTGAGGGGTATATTAATACCATGAAAAGAAGGCTCACGCCACGTTCACAGCGTATAAAAATATAAGTTGCCTAGAAAACTGGAATCTTGCGTACCTTAGCCAAACCTAATTAGTCCTATCCAACCTTGTTTATTTCTTTACCGTTACCCAAGAACAGGTAACTACGAGTGCCCCTCCCGCCATCCAGCGACGCAATGAACCGTACATTAACAACAGAAAAACAGAAAATTAAGTCGCGGACTGAGCTGCATCCAACCGAAAGCAAACCGAGATAAACCTGACGCGCCCAAGCCAGCACGACTCAAAAGGTGCCGTAATGAAACTCTGCCTTCTGCTGTGGGTCTGACCCATGTCTGTTAAAGACCGTCGCCGTCCTGACACTGGTCTCCTTCTCTCTCCCGGCGCCTTTCTTATTCACACCACGACGCCGCTGGGCGGCGCCACCGGCTGGTTCGCGGCCCGCCGGCTCTGACGGCGCCGGCCGCAGGCACGCCGAGTCTGTCGTGTGCGCCCATATGCCGAATTTGATCATCGTTTTCACAACATTGATCTGTTTTGTCGCATGTGATGCTGGGTAGTAGGTGTACGTGTGGCTACCAGTGAGGACGCTTTTTGCTTGATTTGCTTACTTTTGATCCCGTTGTTTGCGTTAAGTTTTAGTCCCACAAGCTTTTTAATATTTCACATTGGTGATGCTTCTATGAATTTTCAGCTGTGTAAACATGATATTACCCAATTTTTCCTCAACCTATGTCTGGAAATTGAATTCAAATAGAAGATTCGACCAGAGACCAAGGCTTCTGGAACCAAGTAGCCCATGTTATTGTCCGAGTCCTGATGTCTTGAGACTTAATGTGAATCCGAGTCCACGATTTGTTGTTGCTGAACCCGATTCCGAGTCTGATTAGATCTAAACTGAATCAACTCGCTCGAGTCCACATCCCAGAATGCCACAATCCGCTCTCGGTTACAGCACGCCGGCCCGGGACGGGCTCGTGAGGCCGGTGAGCGGCGCCGACAGACCGGTCTCGGCGGCCGTGTCACTCCTGTTCCAGGGCCTTGGTGTCGCCCGGCGCCCCGCGCCTCTGCAGCGCCCGCTCGTGTCACCGGCCGACGCGTGATGGAACAGCGGGTGTCGGGGACTTCCGCGCCAGGCCGCCCATGGGTCCCCGGTGGCGCTTATGAGCGCCGAGTTATTGCCAGTGGGTTTTTTGTTGGGCTGGGCGCGCCTTGATTAATCTGTCACCATTACCCGCGAGATTAATGAAGGACGTGCGTAAAACCGCGCACGCCCTGCCGATGGTGCGAGCCCAGAGAAAGGATGGTGCGGGTGCGCCGTGCCGATGCCAAGCGACCGTTGCAATAGGCTTGCTCTCAGCCCTGATGAAGAAAACTGTCACGTGCAGATGGTGAGTATCGCCTGACTCAAAACTGCTGCCAATACCCGGATGTGTGTGGGTCCCACAAGCTATCTCACGGGCTAACAGTGAGCAGACACCGCGATGCACTCATGGAGCGTTTACGCCACGTCTTTGAAGACTTCTTTTATCTCCTTGAAGCTTGCTGCAGGTTTGCTGGACTCATCCGATCAGAGGCGGTAGGCCGTTGGTTTACGTGACGGAGCTGAGGCCGTTGGTTTACGTGACGGAGCTGAGGCCGTTGTTTACGTGACGGAGCTGAGGCCGTTGCGAGCATTCCCGTGGCTCCAGCGTGGGACGACAGCGGCACCCTGGGTGTGTCTGGACAGTACATAGGCGCCGACACCGTGTCGGACGCCGCGGCGTCCACGCCCCAGTAACGGCAGCCAGCTCTCTGTTAAGCGCCGGGCGGTAACTCACCAGCGCCCACGGCTCCAAAGGACGCTGATAGATGTCACTTTGTTTCCACTTCCCTGCGCCACATCGATCTTCCAAACTCATGCAGTCTTGAAAGAGTCGCGACAGGGTGTGCAGACTTTCTGAGGTTCCGGCAGTTTCCACTCGATTTAGACGTTCGGAAGTGCGCGCCGTTCAAAATCTCCGTTTGACCACCGCTCATTTTACGGTCAGCGCAGTTGTGTTGTTTTAAATGGACAACCACCACTTAACAGAGGCATGTCGAAGGGATGTCTTGGGATGCGCTAAGATATTTGTCCGAATTCCTTCAGTTACATGATTTTAGCGGCAGTCATTTTGGTCTTGATCGTCCGTCATTCTGCTGATGGGATGTGGGTTTGGATGTTGTCCCCGCACGTCGGTGCGAACCGCCGTCATGCATCACTCACCGGGCGGTGGTCCGTCACATGGATCAGTCGGTCCGTGGAAGCGTGCCGTCCAGTGAGGGCCCGTCCGCCGGTCGAGGTCCTCAGGGCCCAGCGGCCGGGTCAGTCCGGGCCGGGTTCGACGGACCACACTCGCACGCGGACCCGACCGGTTCCGTAACACCCGCCACGTCACGTTACGCTCGGCGGACGGCTGGAGGGTGGCGCCAGGCCGGGAGCCTGATCCCGAGCCCGGCGTGGAGCTCGGCGCTGTTACCGTCAGCAGCGTCGGCGCCGAGCTGCCGTCGCCCAACACTGCCCGCATCTCTGTCAACCGCCAGTCAGCACTGCCTACTGTTCTTCTCCGTCCCGTCCGTCGAAAGGAAGTCCGCTTCGCCGGAGTTTCGGGCGTTGTAGAGCTATCGATGGACCAGTCATTCAATTGGCCAGGAAGCGTCAAGTGCGGTAGTAATCCGCAAAGCAGAAGAATGTAGCTGGTACTCGGACTTCATTTAGGGAATTCTCTCTTTGGTAGGTGCGTGGGAAGCACTGGTATAGGCTGATGGAATTTGATCGCTATGCACACGACGGCATTCGTCTGGGCAGGGGTGTAGTTTCTTTTTCAGTTGGGGAGTTTCATTCCCCCCCCCCCCCCAACACTTGGGAAACAATAAGCACAGTCCGGAATAAACCCGTTTTTGGGATGTTTTGGGGAAGACTGGGTCATTTTTCACTGCTGGCCACCTAACTCATGTGGCGAAACTACGCCCCCGTGTGTGGGCGCGCGCGCCGTGTGAGCGTGTGCGCCGAGCTCAGGGAATCGCAGGGCGCAGTAAAAGCACCACCCGGAGTCCTTATGCGCAAGTGACGAGACCGAATCGGCGACCGAAGCGTTTTTGAATGTTAAATCAGGGGCCCAATCGGGAGACGAATCAGGAGTTCAATCAGGACACGCTTGCCGCCGCACATCTTGATATGCAGAGCGTCGCCAATGCAGCATGGGCCCCTCTTGCCGCACGGTGCAGATCTGACCTCCTTTCTTTTTATGGTATTTCGGCAGGGCTTATAGCGTGCGGTGGTTCGGTTGAAAGCGATTGAAGTGATCGCGTGAAATATTGCAGCATTACAGTTGGACACCATTGTCGGTCGGCGCCACTTTATTTTTGCAAAAATGTTCTCGTTTCTGAATCGTCTGCATTTTATATCCTCAGTATATCACCAACATCAACGGACGAGGACTCGGATACACTGTGACCCGCATAATTTTGCAATTACGAGACATCCGTCAAGCTGTATGGGCCATTCCAAAGGCACGCCCACAGCCTGGACTCGTTTTGGAAACGTCTAACGCGGCTATTCGGGGACCAGGCATATTTGACTCCGCTTTGTTCAACCCCATTTCTTCGACCTCAATGCCGTATTCAGAACGCCAATAACAGTGCCTACGTTCCTGGGGGCCTGCGAACATCAAAACTTGACAGCTTTCAACCGCACAGTGTGTCGAGATCTACTCCCACGTGAGCAGCATTTTTCGACACCTGTATTGTTGAACATCTACTGTCGACACCCTCGTTGTTGATGTCCCACATTTTGAACACGTTCAGTTATCCAGAAACTACACCGCTCTATGATTGAGAGTATGGTATGATTCAGTTGTTTAGTGGCATTGCTAGGATTGAGAAGCAAGTTTGTGACCTTCGCCAACTGCGTGACCTTTCTTGCCGACCGCGAGCCCGCTGCAGTGCCGGCCCTACGGCTCTGTATTGCCGCCTGTCTCTGGGCAGGCCTCTCCGTGCATATGGGCGATTTCATGACGCTTCTCACGATCCTGTAAGTCCGCATTAACAATGCGATGCGTCATTACGGTGTTTCGAGCTATTTTGGTCCCTTAGGATAACACAAGTTAATGCCGATCGATAGGTCGCATCAGCTTCCTGCATGTTATCACTGAAATCTAAGTGGCAATAGTCCAGCTCGGAGGAAACATGCCTCCCCTCCCCATCCGCAGCCGCCGTCCAACAGCGATGGCGGCCTGGCATTACAGCCAACGCCATATCCCGCCGTTTAACATGTGCGACTAGACAAAGCGTTCCCGACTAGCTGAAAACCCTCCTTCAAAACTCTGTGGTTTGTAACACCAAGTCACTCTGTGTGATCCTGCTCCCCGTCTCACATGACAGCGTGGTCTGACACTATGATGCGTTGGACGTACCCTGAGACACTTTATCCCTGTGGTGCAATGTGCGTGAATGTTTGATGCCCTGTTACACCTGTTACACGGTGTCGTCATGCTAAGCTGTATGCGCGTCTTGTTCCAGTCTGGCGGGGCGGTCTGACTTCGCACCCTTTGTGTTGCATCCTGGTGGGGTAGTCTAACTCTGCACGTCCGTGTGCTGCAGTCTGGCCCGTCACGATGATCTTGAACGCCCATGTGCCGCAGTCTATCTGGCCGGTCCGACCCCGTCTCCGATGCACTGCAATTTGGCTGGGCAGTCTGTCTCTGTGCCCCCCGCGCCGCAGTCCGACCAGTCCGGCCCCGTCTCCCGTGCGCCGCAGTCTGACCAGTCAGTCCGACCCCGTACAGTGGTCTGGGTTGCTAGTCGGTCCGACCCCGTGTCCCCGTTGTCTGACTCCACCTCCCCTGCCCCGCAGTCTGGCTGGGCAGTCTGAACCTGAGCGTCAGCCTGCTGGTGACGCCGGCCGTGGTCGGCTTGTGCCGCCGCAAGTCTACCCGCCTGACAGCCGTGCTGGGCGGACTGGTGGCCGCCCTCGCTTGTCTCTTCACCTCGTTCGCGCAGCAGCTGCATCAAGTCTTCCTCAGGTCAGCCGGTGGCTGAGGCTGCCAGTGGTCGGGTCTTCCTCAGGTCAGCCGGTGGCCGAGACAGCCAGCGGTCATGGCTGCCAGCGGTCATGGCTGCCGGCGGTCGTGGCTGCCAGCGATCATGGCTGCCAGCGATCATGGCTGCCAGCGGTCATGACTGCCGGCGGCCATGGCTGCCAGCGTTCATGACTGCCGGCGGTCATGGCTGCCGGCGACGGACACAGACAGACGCGACGAAAAAACCGCGGTTGCGCTTGGTTAGTCGCTGTGATCAGTTTGAAAAGTAGATCAGGCGGCTCTAAACCGGCTGGGCAGGATAGGGCTGCGGTTAGGCTCGACGGCGCGATGGTGTCTAAGCATGGTCCGGCCCCGTTCAACCGGTGACCGTAGTAACACGCGGTGATTCGCGGTGAGGGGCCCTGGCCGTGGTGGGTGACGCTGTGCCGGCAGTGGGTGATACTGTACCGCCGGTCAGTGATGCTGAGCCCGCGGCGCTGTGTTCCAGTTACGGCGTCGTAATGGGCATCGGCGTGGGTCTGACGCGGGAGACGTCTGACCTGATGACCGGCCAGTACTTCAAACGGCGCCGCGAGTTTGTGGAGATCATCGTCCAGTCTGGCGCCGGCATCGGGCTCACGCTGGTCTCCACCATCCTCCGGTACAGCTTGGGGTACGTGGACCTGGCTGCTACATCAGCATTGGGTGCTGACGCAGTGGGCGGGTACGCTGGACCTTAACGTCTGATGCTGGCGCTCAGTTCCTCGTCCTCCTTTTAGGCTGTATTTGTCCTCAGTGATGTACATCACAGAATGGGTTGGCGTCCCAGCTCAAGTTCCCAGCGGTTCACTGTTTTTGGCTCAGTAATCTGCATAATATTTCAATCATTAGCTAGTAGCATGCATGCATGTATGCAACGCGATATTAACAGTCGGTGAGTGCTGTTTCAGTGATTTTTACTAACGCCTCGAAGTTTCAAAATATGATCTCGTCTTATGCCTTCCGTCTTTGTTCGAGCAAGGTATGCTTTAATTACGTGCTCAAATTTTAGAGCGTGTTCATTTTCGTGCTTTTGATTTCATGTACGTCATTACGAAGATGTGCTTTGCTGCTTGTTGTACTGGACGATCTGCCTTCGGTCAGACAACTGCAACAATTATTTAGCCGACGGAGCACGACTCGATGCACGTTGTGAGATATGTGAGATAAGTTTTCATTTTGAAATTTTACTTGTAAGGGTAGCATTTGTTTTATACTGTCAATGGCCGAAGAAACGTTATAATGTGTCAGGGTAACTTACGATTTTTAGCTGTCATCGGCACTTCGGAATCAATAAAACTTGGATTTCTGAAAATGCCACAAAGTTCAGTCATCGGCGTACCCAAAGGCAAGCAATTGGCACTGACAGCCTTGGCACAATTGGAGAAAGTGTTCATGACCTGAGATATCAACAAATTTGGAGGTTATGATTTTACGTTTTTATTTACAATGTGGCGCACGTTCTGTGAACAATTTTGGTTATGAGTGTTCCGCCAGCCTCGCACCCATTCGCACAGACTTCACAAACTCACCCCAGCCGTGAAATAACAAATACTTGCATAACGCCTTGGCTCTTATAAATAACACACATTTTAGCGCCAGGAAATATTGTCACACATTTACAAACTCTCCAACGTGAGCACAACGCTGAAGGCAAACGATGGAGACGCCGTGGTTCGGGCAGTTGACCCCAATCCACCGACCCACTCATACCCGACCAAATCCCTCCTGAGGCAGCCTTCGGATCAGGCGGGCCTAACACACATCATATATACCCGGGGAGCCGTCCCTCATCACAATTCATTACTTTTTGCGCCCATCCCAAACCATCGAGCAATACACATATTGTTTGGAGCTGCAATGGCTTGAATGATGTTGCACGAACTCCTTGGAAGATCCCATTTTAATAGTCAATTATAAAACCACAACAAATTGCCCTTTCTTGACTGTAGCCTGACCCGGGAACAAGTTTTTGCCGAGATGTCTGCCAGGTCGCTTCGTCTTTATAAGATGCTTATTATCCTCAGGCAATCCTATGTCTTTAGACGCATCGGCAGTGATCTAAAGCCATTTCAAGGCGGGACATTGTACGCTGCAGAAGTAATCGTCCATGGAATACAGCAAGCCATGGGTTACGATCAATGTGTGTTTGTTACGCCCTGACACTGGCGATGCGCACCTTCATACTAGGATGAATTCACCGTGTATACTAACCAGACAACATGGCAGCAATGCCCATGAATATTACGATCGTGGCATTGTGAACCAAGTACACAATCTACAGGGAGTCGAATTGGGGATATTTTGGAAGGGGAGCTTTCGATCGGGAACGAACGTAAAGTGAACGAGATAAGCACGGACTGTTTCGCAGCGACT